AATACATACATATATATATATACACACACACATACACACAAATAAATATATATATATACACACACAAATACATACATATATATACACACACACATACACACAAATAAATATATATATACACACACACAAATACATACATATATATATATACACACACACATACACACAAATAAATATATATATACACACACAAATACATACATATATATACACACACACATACACACAAATAAATATATATATACACACACAAATACATACATATATATACACACACACATACACACAAATAAATATATATATACACACACACAAATACATACATATATATATATATATATATATTTCTGTTTCTATTTTGGAGTTTCTCTTAACGTTTGACAGCTGAGAACTCCTGGGCTACCTATAGCCAGTCCCCATCCCCAGAGCAGATCAAATGGAATTCCCTTTTACCTATATCATGGAAGCTGCATATCATCTCGGTGATTTTCTTCTTCAAGATTACTCATTTTTGGTCCTTATAACTAGGTTATTTTAAGGACTGGAAGGCACAGGGTTAGAGAAATCACATATTAATCTCTAGACATGCATAGTCCTGCAGACTGTTTCTGATGAAGAATAAAAGCTTTCATTTCAAGCTTTTTGTCCAACTTCTAACGTTCTCACTGAATAGATATGCTCTGCATGACACACTTGGTGTGTTAAATTTTGAATTTTTGAAGGAATTTTATCTTTATAATGGGAAAAAGTTTATGATTCACTGTCTTTTGAATTAAATCTTTTAAGTTAAGATATAACAGCCATTCATAACATACACAAGTCTTCAGTGTCCATTCAATAATCCTGACATATGTATATACCTGTGTAACTACCACCCAGATCAAAATATAGAATAATTTTGGTGCTGAGAAGACTCCATGGTACTTCCTCACTATCAGTTACCAACCGCCTCCCACCTTCCACTAAAGATAATCTTTTGGAATTCAGAAGCCTTTTATGTTCTTAAACTTCATATAAATAGAAGTAAATGGTACAAATTCTATTATGTCTGTTTTCTTTAACTCATGATTATGTTTATGAGAATTATCCATGTTGTTGCTATGTAATATTCCATTGTATGGATTATGAAAATTGATGATAAGACTTGGGCTTATTACAGTCATACCCAACTAAATGGGAGTTAAGGGATCATGGGAAAAAAGCACTCAGGTCTCAAAGCTCCTGCTCCAAGAACTGTCTGGCAAGCTCAGATGCGGGAATAACTTGCTGTAATCTTAAAACCAGTTTTACCTGGTAACTGCTGAAACTACCTTCCGTGCCTCTAATTAGTTTTACCTACCACCAATATTAGTTTTACCCACCACTGTCACTCAACAATTACAGTTTGACAGAGCTAGAAAAATTTCTCTAGGCCAAGAAACTTTCTTTCAAAACATTTGGCAAAATGTTTCTTCTAACCAATAAAATCCCAACCTTTTATTTTGCTCTGTGGACATCCTGAAGACCAGCCAGGTCAGGGTGTATGCTCCAAATTGCAATTTGGTTTTTGTGAATATTTCCAAAGAAATCCTTTGCTTAAGGGAGAACAAAAAGCCAAATTTAACAAATGTTTTCATCCTGGCACATAAGCCTTATCGGAAGCGCATCATAGGTTTTCAGGAGCACATTTCATGTAAGAGCCACTTAATGTGGACATCTTAAGCTTCCCCTCCTTGAAATAGTCCTGTGGTCCCTTCATCACCACAGTTTAAAAGACAGGACAGATATTCCTCTCTCACCAAGACTGTGTTCCCAAACAGTAATGATGGTAAACTAGTTTTATTTTTAATTTAATATTTTTAAGAACTGGAGCTTCCAGTAGTTGTTAAATCATTCTCTGTTAAATCATTCAATGTTTAAATGTTTAAATAACAGTTAAACATTATTTAAACTGTTAAGTTTAAATAATGGAGGCTGAACAAATCCTTGAAGAACCTCATTATATATAATAACGTATGACCCAAATACGAGGGAAATAGGGAAGTTGAAATTCTCATAATATTTGTAGAAATAACTTTGGTGACTACGTGTAAAATAATAAAACTGTAGGCAAGTGAGAATGGTTGGCACTACTTGAAACTAATCAGATTAACAAACATTAGGAAAAGAGTTTAACAGCTAAACAGAAATTTAAATTTATACTGCTAAAAAACTGCACACACATATTTTTTAAATTTATGCAAGAAAAATCTAAGAAATAAGTTGTTTGAATTAACTTAATTTACAAAAGTGTCCTAAAAAGTAGAATATCTACTGTAGTGATTTTCCCAATAATTAAATATGAACCTCAAATGGGACAAGAGCTGTATTCAAAAATGAGATATACCACCTATAAACTAGACCAGCAGAGGGAGCTCAACATATTTAGCCAGGAAAGACATTGAAGACTTAGTTGAGATTCTTGTTAAGCAGACACATATGCATTAGGATAATTATGCAGTTTTATTTTAAATATGAATAATCAGACATAAATATATTCATTACTTATTACAGATAATTTGAGACTCCATCCTCTCAATTTTAATTGACTGCCTTAGTTGAATTCAATTATTTGTATAAGAACAGAAGTCAGCCTGTGCAACACAGTGAGACTCTTTCTAAAATAAATAAATAAATAAAAATAAAAACGAACAGAAGGAAATTATATTCAGTATAAGAAGTGTAAATAAATTAAAAAATATATCAACACATATGTTAGCATTTTTGCTGAATTTTAAACACAGCAATAGAATAATGAGATAAAGTTCAGTGTAGAATCTTGATAGTGGACCCTGTAAATAAAACATAACAACTTAACTAAATGGGAGCAAAACATTTATGAGTCTCATGATAGAAATATACTAACAAGTTCTCATTTTCTTTGTGCCTATGAAGATGGATAGCATAATCACAGCTATTCTAGCTGATACCACTACAAATTTATAAATATAGAATCTGATCATTTGAATGGAAATAACAAATGTTTAGAAATTTGGAAAAAGAAAAAGAAAAATACCAAGGTGAACATGATTAGGTTTGTTCACTGACACTGCTTGAGACTATAAAGAAGTGAGTGACAGATGCTCAAAATAATTTCAAAGGGAGTATATAATAATGGAGTATGTAGGTAAGGAAAGGGTTGCATGCTGAAGGAGAGAAATAAAACTGAATAAACCCATATTCAGAAGCTTTACAATATTCTGCAAGCTTTTTGTAAAATTTTATTCTATAAAGTCTGACTAAAATTATTTAGGTAAGAAATTTAACTGGTGTAGCCATCTTAAAGATTGCGTTATAGCCATTTTAGTGGTAGACTGATGAATTATATCATAAAAATAGGCACTTTCAGAAAACTGGCTATCTTTAAGTCTTAATGGAAAGGAAATCTGGCAATGCCCTCCCTTTTTTCCAAGTCCCTTCCCTCCCTACCCCATGAAGATGGATAAGGCTTTAAATCATTCCACCTATTGCTGTGGAAAGTATTTTGTGGAAATAATCATGCAAAAAACAGAGAAAAGTATATTTCATATTTTTAGGATTATACACGTATAGAAATGAAATGAGAAAACTGCTAGGGCTGGAAATACAGTTTGTGAAGTCTAAATAGAACAAAGCCAGTAGTGATCCCTTCTTCTCTGGATTATGTGGACTGAATATGTACAAATGTTGGACATAACTCAGGGCCAAATTTTTCCACAAGAACCTAGAATATATCAAAGTCTAAAACAGGATTATAGCTGCTTTAGAGAAGAAAATTGCACCAGGACCACACTGCTTCTAACCAAATTACATGCATCCTCTTTGCTTTTATACTCATATACACACATTCATGTTAACTTATATTGTATCCTATTTAAGATAATTCTATATAATGCCTCCAAATTTAAGTTCGGTTCCTCTCCGCAAATGCTTTATTGTAGTTAAGCTAGGTTAACTTAGAGTAGAACCACAGAGACACTGCTAAATGACTTAATATTGCATACAAGAGGAAGAAGCACTTGTTTTAAATGATGCCTGTAGAAAACTTCTCCCTGATTCCAGCGCGCGCACACACACACACCCCACACACACTTGCACCATAATTCATGTAATAATTTGCATATTAGATTGCTTTTCCTTAGAAAATTTACTATTTACTATTCTAAGACAGGTAGAATGAACATAATTCTTAATAATAACTTTTAAAACTAATAAATCATTAAGTATTTTATCATATTTTAGTTAATATTAACTTTGAGAAGTATTGCAAACTCTACTCGCTACATTAAAAATATAATTCTAGCTAATTTAAGATTCATCATGAACACAGTTTCAAAAAAAGTAACTTGGCCGCTAGACAATTTTATGGATGTTCAGTGGTTTATGTATCTATTTCTGCATTTTATTACGGTTAAATTGCCCAATAAAAGCTAACGGGCAAAATAGAGATACATGTGCTTTTTAGAAAAAAACTATAAAATTCAAGACAGAAGAAATTTGGTCTGTAACGACAATTCTTATGTTTTTCAAGCTTTAATAACTTTTAAAATACAGTTGATAAAATCTCTAAGTATAATGTTTTGGCAAATACTGTGTTCATTGGAAAAAAGAATCAAATAGAATATTTAAAATAACATAAATCTGTAAGTGGGGTAGAGAGTAAACATCCAAGTATTCACTATTCTGCTTATGTCTGGATATTAGAGTACTGGAAAAAATAAAGGACATGGTGACATTTTAGCTTTAAATTGAGGTTTAATATTAGATCGGTAAATTGGGAAACAATGTTGTTTTCACTTATATTAATATATTCTAATATACCATCTCTAACTGAAACGTTATTACCTGCAGGTGATCATAATTTATTGATACCATTAATTTTACTCTTAAAATCTTGTTATATTAATTTGTGTTCTAAATTGCATAAAATGAGCAGAAGAGTTGACCCTAATGCAATTACAGATTACTCTAGTGTGAAACTTGTTGCAAAGTAAAATGCCTACCATGGTCGTCTCTGCAATAGAGCCAAAGCTGTTGATGAATATGTTGCATGTGACATTAACCGGAGGGCCTGAAAAAGATATTAAAACATAAAGGCTGTTTAGACACTTATCTAAAACATTTTCAAATAATTCCTTGAATTGCATTATTAATGCACACACACACACACACACACACACACAGATGCTCAAAATTGAAGGCAATAATTCCATGAAACAATCTGCATCGAGAATCACAAGGAACACTAATGGTGATCATTTTTTAGCCTCTCTTGGTCTTATTTTAAAAATCCAGGTATCTTCAATGGCTCTGTAAATGCCTGGTGCAGTAAGTCTAATATCAGAGCTCCTTTAGGGATAGTTTCTATTGATTTTTTACTTCTATGCACAGGCTATAATTTTCTATTTCTTTGCATGCCTCATATTTTTTGTTAGAACCTGAATACTTTAGATAACTTAATGTGACAACTCTGGAAACCTGACCTTCCCACCTCCAACCCACAGTTTGTTGTTGCTGGTTTTTCTTGTGGTTGTTGTCTGTTCTTTAGTGACTTACCTGGACTAATATGGTAAAGTTTTCATTTCCCTAGAATGCACAGCCACTGAAATCTCTGTTTAATGAGCTTAGTGGTCAACTAATATTTGGTTAGCAATTTCTTTAAAGCCTGGAGCCAATACATCTTCCACTCTTGCCAAGGGTCCTCCATGGGTTTGGAGGCATGTCTTCAATGCTCAGGCAGTTTACAACTCTACCTTAGCCTTCACTTCCTGCTTGCACAGGGCCTGAGGTCCACCAGAGGAGAGAGAGTGGGACTTTCTGAGGACTTTCCTGGAGATGCTCACAGCCCTATACACATATGTAAACTCCATATTACAAGGATATGTTAGAGCTTCTCAGAGCTGCCTAAGAACATTGAATTTTCCAGGTCCTTTAAAATTTTTGTTCATGTTCTTATTTGCCCAAACTAGTGTCCACAGCCTTAGGCAGCTATAATGTTAAACAATCTTCTGATTATTTTCCACAAATGCCCTAGAGATAGACTTTTTTCCCACCAAGTGAGTGCTCGGTCAAGTCAAATCATGAAAAGCCCTTTGAGTGAGGCTTTTCCAGGAAGCTACTAGGTACACAGGTAGAACAGTGACAAAGCTCTGGGAATGGACCTTCTGAGGAACTCCAAACCTGGTCAGCCAGCTCCGGTGGTTTTACAACTTCTATTGTTTAGAGGCTGTTGGATTTCAAGGCTGCTGTGGAACAAGAAAGGTAGGCCAAATTAATACGCCTTCTGTCTTACAGAACATCATCCATTTTTCTTGAATAAACACTCTTCAGGTTGTTGTGAGCTTTTGATCAATTTTAGGAGTTCTAAAAGTTAATCTTGACAGTTTTGCCAGTGTTTTTGCTGCTTTTTTGGAGAAGCAAACTTTTTTTTTTTGAAAGAAAGAAAGAGAAAGAGAAAAGGGGAGAGAGAACAAGAGTCTTGCTCTATTGCCGAGGCTGGAATGCAATCTAAAAATAGGTATTAAAAACCTCTTTTATGCCAATAATTGTGCTTAACAGTGGAGACAGGAAGGAATAAGGGAAGAAAATAACAAACAAACAGCCAACCAATATTTCATTTAAGTCTGTGAAATGCTAAGCAAATACTGAAGAGTGATTTACTTGCAATTATGTGGGCACTTTCAAAATAGGTGTAATGTGATACTGAGAAAAATGTATGTTTTTTGGACCTGGGGTGAAGAATTCTATAAATATTCACTGAATTTACTTGTTCTAGGTCTGAGTTCTAATCGTAGATGTCCCTGTTAATTTTCTATCTTGTTGATCCGTTGAATATTAACAATGTGGTGTCAAAGTCTCCCACTATTATTGTGCGGGAGTCCAAGTCTCTTTATAAGTCATTAAGAACTTGTCTTATGTATGTGGGTGCTCCTATATTGGGTGCATATATATTTATAATCATTGACTCCTGTTACCATTATGTAATGTCCTTCTTTGTTTCTTTTAGTCTTTGTTACTATTAAAGTCTATTTTGTCAGAGATGAAAGTTACAACTCCTGTTTTGTTTTTTTTTCTCTCCATTTGATTGGTGAGTCTTCATGCAATCCTTTGTTTTGAGTCTTGGTGTGTCCTTGCTTATGAGATGGATCTGGATACAGTGTACAAATGGGTTTTGATTTTTTATTCAATTTGCCTGTCTGTGTCTTTGGGGCATTTAATCCATTTAATTTTAGGATTAATATTGATATTTGTGAGTTTAGTATTATCATTTAATAGTATCTGGCTATTTTGCCCATTAGTTGATACAGATTCTTCATTATGGAGATACTCTTTACCTTTTGGTAAGTTTTTGAGATTACTGATACTGGTTGTTCCTTTCTGTGTGTAATGCTTCTTTCAGAAGCTCTTGTAAAGCAGGCCTGGTGGTGATGAAATCTCTGAGTGCTTGCTTGTTTGCGAAAAATTGTATTTTTCCATCATTTATGAAGCTTAGTTTGGCTGGATATGAGATTCTGGGTTGAAAATTCTTTTCTTTGAGGATATTTAATATTGACCCCCCACTCTCTTCTAGTTTGTAGGGTTTCTGCTGACAGATCTGCTGTGAGTCTGACAGGCTTCCCTTTATGGGTAACCTGACCTTTCTCTCTAGCTGCCCTTAGAATTTTCTCCTTTATTTCAACCCTGGTGAATCTAACGATTAATTGTCTTGGGGTTGCTCTACTTGAGGAATATCTTTGTGGTGTTCTCTGTATTACCTGGAGTTGAGTATTATCCTGCCTTGCTAGGCTAGGAAAGTTTTCCTGAATAATATCCTGAAGAATATTCTTCCAGTTTGCATTCATTCTCTTCATGACATTCAGGTACACCTATCAAAGCTAAATTAGGTCTTTTCACATAGTCCCATATTTCTTGGAGACTTAGCTCATTCCTTTTTACTCTTTCTTCTCTAGTCTTGTCTTCTCATTTCATTTCACTAAGTTGGTCTTCGACCTCTGATATCCTTTCTTCTGCTTGATCAATTTGACTGTTAAAACCTGTGCATACTTTCTGGAGTTCTCATATTGTATTCTTCAGTTCCACTAATTTACTTATATTCCTCTCTAAATTGTCTATTCTCGTTAGGATTTTGTAAAATCTTTTTTCAAGGTTCTTAGGTTCTTTACATTGGGCTAGAACATGTTCTTTTAACTCACAGAAGTTTCTTATTATCCACTTTCTGAAGCCTAATTCTGTTAACGGAACACACCAATTCTCCATCACGCCTTGTTCCCCTGGTGATGAGGAACTGTGATCCCCTGTAGAGGGAGAGGCATTCTGATTTTGGGTATTCTCAGCCTTTTTATGCTGGTTTTCTTCCCATCATTGTAAATTTATCCATCTGTTGTCTTTGCAATTACCGACTTTCAAATTAGATCTCTGAGTAGATGTCAAACTTGTTGATTCCCAGTGCTAGAATCTGAGCAACCCACTGCGCCAGGTAAAACAGTGGCGTTAAGATTCATGGTGCTTTTCTGCCCAGGAATCTCTGGTCTGGCTTCCCTCTTGAGTCCCTTTTTCAATCAGCTGAATGGGCGACTCTGCCTTCCTGGAGCTCCAAACGTCAACCAAAAGGGGACCCAGTCCTGTTTACTCTACACCAAGAACCACCATGCCTAGGCACCAGCAAAACCACCGTGCCAGCCACAAGAGTTGCGCTGGCGACCCGTGGGGCTGCTCTGCTGGGAATCTCCTGGTCTTGAGCAACAAAAATTCGTCTGAAAGTGTGGCGTCCTCTCATTCTCTGCACTTTCACTGGGAGCTTCAATCCTGAGCTGCTAGTAATCGGCCATCTTGGATCTCTCTCCCTGGAGAAGTGAACTTAATAGAGTTTCTTACTCCTCCATTCTGGAAATTTCTTGTTAATGCCTGATTTAGTATACATTGTAAATCCATGGATTTTTATTTTTATAAGGCCCACTTATTCAATCCTTTACTAAATATCCAAAACCCTTGCATACAAAATTGAAGAAGACACGAAGAGATTTTCATCTATCAGGGAAGAAGGAGCAGAAATCAGTAAATTGTTGCACTTTTTTTTTTACTGTAGGTTCTGGGGTACATGTGCAGGTAATGCAGGGTTGTTTTATAGGTGCATACACAACCAGGTACTTTGCTGCCTCTATTCCCCCTGCACCTATATCTGGCATTTCTCCCCATGTTATCCTTCCCTAACCTCCCCACCTGCCAATGTCCCTCCCCTAGGTTCCCCCCAACTTCCCCCAGTGTGTGATGCTCCTCTCTCTGAGTTCAACACCTGCCTCATTGTTCAACACCCACCTATGAGTGAGAACATATGGTGTTTGGTTTTCCATTCTTGTGTCAGTTTGCTGAGAATTATGGTTTCCAGATTCATCCAAGTCCTTACAAAGGACATGAACTCATTGTTTTTTATGGCTGCCTAGTATTCCATGGTGTATATGTGCCACATTTTCTTTGTCCACTCAATCATTGATGGGCATTTGGGTTGGTTCCAGGCCTTTGCTATTGTACACACTGCCGCAATGAACATGGCTGTGCATGTGTCTTTATAATAGAATGCTTTATAGTCCTTTGGGTATATATCCAGTAATGGAATTGCTGGGTCAAATGGAATTTCTATTTCCAGATCCTTGAGGAATTGTCACACTATCTTCCACAATGGTTGAACTAATTTACACTCCCCACCAACAGTGTAAAAGTGTTCCTATTTCTCCACATCCTCTCCCAGCATCTGTTGTCTCCAGATTTTTTAATGATCACCATTCTAACTGGCATGAGATGATACCTCAATATGGTTTTGATTTGCATTACTCTAATAACCAGTGATAATGAGCATTTTTTCATATATTTGTTGGTCATGAGATGTCTTCTTTTGAGAAGTTTCTGTTCATATCCTTCACCCACTTTTGAATGGGTTTGTTTGTTTTTTCTTGTATCTCTGTTTTAGTTCTTTGTAAATTCTGGATATTAGCCCTTTGTCAAGTAGATAGATTGCAAAAATTTTTCCCTATTCTGTTGGTTGCTGATTTGCTCTAATGATTGTTTCTTTTGCTG